TAGTAATAGCGGAAGCGAATTCGCGATTTCGATTAGAGCTAAACTTGTTAATTTTATCTTTTTCTGCCAGGAAAAAAAAAGGTACAAACACTTCGCCATGTCTGTGAAGCCGTTGAGCTTAGAAACCCGGAACATCCAGAAGATTTTTTCAGGAAACACTGCGTACTGCTCTGGCAAAAGGCGCTGATAGAGCTATACACGTGGAGCTGGACGATGCCACTGCTGAACGAATTGAACCATTGTGTATTGCTAAGGTAAGGGAAATTTCAGGCTCTGTGAGGACCAATTATTATCACCATTTCCCTCATTTCCTTGCCTCTTTTGCATCTTGTTTCTTCCCTGCTCTTCCTTCATCCCTTTCCCCTCTTCCCCGCTTCCCCTCTTCCACTTTGATTTCATTAGAGGCATTCGTAGGTGAATCCAGAAAGGCGAAAGACCCTAGTGGCACAGGTACCAGTGCTACAAAAGTCTGGGTTTAAAGCAAAACTGAAGTAAACTTTCTTCCGACTCTCCGTCGCCCTTCCCCCGCCCCCTTCGCAGAAGCCCCATTGCCCTCCCCCTCCCGGGAAGCCGCCCTGAATCCGCCTATGGAGGCATTTGAGTTTCCGTGTACGCATTTCTTGTGAAGAATAGTAGTGCATAGAAATGATGCAAAAGGCGGGCGTTGGTCAAGGTTTGTGACTTTCATATTTTCAAGGCATTCATAAACCACTGAAGACATGAAAATGCAAAAGAACGAGAGATTGCGACTTATCATTTTTGACTTATGTCTTCGAACATTACGGGTTTTGTGGCTTAATACCTTTGAAGGAATTTAATGAAGTTTGGTTTTTAGCTTTTACAAAAAATAGCGGAAGCTGAGAAGCCGGATTTGATATTTCTTGGCAAGCAAGCAATCGATGATGATTACGGGCAAACAGGACAAATTCTTGCTAGTTTGTTGAATTGGCCTCAGGCGATGTACGCTTGCAGAGTGGAACCAGAAGGCAATAAAACATTCGTCGTAACGCGGTTTGTTTTGTGCCGTTATACATTCAGTGGTTTCGTATTGTTTTTCGTTGAATTTTATAATTTATTTCATGCAAAGAGTAAATGTAATAATGATAACAGTAATAATGATGATAGTAAGGATAATAATAAAATATAATAATAAAAATAATGATTATAAAGTATATCAACAATGGTAATAGTAATGATAATAATAATGATAATAATAATAATGATGGTAATAATAATAATAATAACAATAATAATAATGACGATAACAATGATAATAATGATAATAACAGTAGTGGTAATAATAACAATGATGAAAACATAAATAAAATCCAAATATTAATCTGATCTTCGTCGCTTACTCATGTGACTTGTAAAGCAAAGCAAGGATTGTTACAGCACTTATATGAACAAATTACTCCGTACTCGAACAGATTCGACCGTAGCGGTGATAGTGGAGGGTTGACAAACTGTCACATTGGTGGAATTTGCTAAGAGGCCTTACGCCTTTTTGAGATCGCTTAACCTATCGATGTTAAGATTTCTGTGATCGGAATTGCAGTAAGCACCAAACGACACCCATTCTTGACCTACCTTGGAATACTTCTGGCCACGGCCTGTCTCTTCAAGGATCGTTGGTGATTGATATTCTTCAAAAATTGCTGTAACAAATATAACATGTTCGTTTCAGAGAAGTAGATGTTGGCCAGGAATCGATACGGATCAAGACACCAGCAGTGATAAGCGCTGATTTGAGGCTGAACGAGCCGAGATATGCGACATTACCGAACATTATGAAAGCCAAAAAGAAACCACTGGAAAAGAAGAAACCATCTGATTATGGCGTTGAAATTACACAACAAACGCAAATCCTTGAGGTTTTTTTTTATAATTTTACTGATTTTGATTTTGTCTACCTACTTATTCTTTGAGATAATATAATGGTTTATTTTTGGTGACAGGTCATAAGCCCCTTAGGTGTCGTTAATAATCTAGTAGAAACTAGAGAAAGGCTACGTGAAACATTCGACTGTTTCAAGTTACAGACAGATATAGCGGCATTTACGTGAGCACCTTTACGATTGAAATGGTAGAACAGAAGGATTGGTCTTAAGTGTAAAATGTGCCAAAGGATATTTTACGATGTAGTTAGTCTGTGTTTCATCCCTTAGCTGTAAACATAGACTGAGCAAAGCATGCGGGTAATAGCGGGAATCATCAGTACAGCCTCATACTTGCCATGTTTTGAACAGTCATGTGACTAATTTGCAAGATAGATATGCGAAAGAAAAAGAAATTAGAAAGAGCAAACAGAGCACCGCTCCGACTGAGTACTTGAATATTTCAAGCATCCTCAATCGGAGCGGTTTTCTGTATTTTCATTCTGATACTTTGTATGGCTGCTCTACCATCGGTTAGCGCTTTTTCTCTGGAAGCGCATTTCGTTGCTCCAGTTTCTTTGCCTGTTCAGCTGACCATATTTTGTATGTTTGGTTTGCATAGCGTCAATTTCAAAAGTTTTTGTCTTCGGGAAGACTAGAAAACATCTCAAGAAGCTGGCAGGGTAGCTGAAATGAACCTCCTCTATAAGTTGACCGGATCTGTAGAATCATAGCTATGCTGTACTCTTTTTCCACCTTTGATTATCTTTGTTCTTCGTTCATTTCTCAGCTTTCACCAGTACAACCTGGCGCTAGTTGCTGGCAATGTTTACATTGCCCAAAATTTTGAGAGCTTTGCTTCGAATCTACTAATTTTGCTGTTACAAAATTTGACAATTCCATTTTATTCAAAATAGATTTCCAGGTAACGGAGCCACCGGTTCGGAAAGCAGGCGGATTTGTGGAGGATGTGCCAGCGCTTGTTGCTAAACTCAAAGAGAAAGGCGTCCTGTAAATGCAGTATCAGTGTGCTGCTTCAGTT